CGGCACGTCCCGGCCCGACATGGCCCTCAACAAATCCATGCACGCTCGCAACCGCTACAAGGACAAGCCGCCCGACTTCGCCTACCTGGCTGGCAAGTACCCCGAGTTCCAGCAGCACGTGCAGACCACCCTCGCGGGCAGGGTGAGGTACGGCCGGGGCGGGATGGGGCGGGTGGGTGCCCATGTGTGTCTCCCCCCGGGCACCCACGAAAGCTCTGCGTGTGCCTTTCAGCCTGAATTTCAAGGATCCCGAGGCCGTGAGGGCTCTGACGTGCACCCTCCTGAAGGAGGATTTCGGGCTGACCATCGACATTCCCGTGGAAAGGCTCATTCCCACCGTCCCTTTGAGGCTGAACTACATCCACTGGGTGGAGGATCTCATCGGCCACCGGGACGCTGAGAAACAAACCCTGAGACGAGGCATTGACATAGGTACTTGGCAAAGCTGAACGTTTAAATCCTTATTTACCATCAGCAAGTAAGACAGTAGCAGATACAATTCGTTGCACATGCACAGGAATGCGTCGAGTTCGAGAAACAAAGAGATCTGATCTATTTTCGCTGTGGTGGAAGGCAGTCTGAGCTCCACAGGTGTTTTCATGTGCCCTCTGGGCAGGCAGGATTCCTCTGCACAAACACAGCGACAGTCATGGCACGCAATTATGTGGCTTTTCAGGGCCTTGAACTCACTTGAGTGCATCTTTGGGTGGTGTACAAAAACTGTGCTTCTAGAAGTGCAGGCAGAAATGTCATTCTAGAGGAGCTAAAAAGTGCTTCTTCTCACTGTTATAACTAGTGAATTGTTTTGTTGCTAATTTATTAATTTTGCTTTAATCCTAAATTTGGTTGTCATTGATAATTTGATCACCTAAGTATGCCGTAATTATTTTGTACTAGCATCTCTCTGTTTTTTACCAAGTTTTTACCTGTCTGTCTCTCTTTTTGAATATCTTAATTGACAGTTAGATTTCTTTGATAGTTTTGGACATTGGGGAAAGACAGTCTGGTGGAACAGATTTTTTTTTTTTGATGGTTGTTGTATGCATCGAAGTAAATTATTTTTGATAGATGATAGAAAAATGCTGAAGAGAAATTTATTTGTGGTAGGTTTTTTGTTTTAGTAAAGTCAGAATGTATTTAGCTTTCTTTATATAAATTAGCCATTGTCATATAGAAGAAAAATAGCTTAAACCAAAGTTGGTAGTTTACTAGAAAATTTATTCTAGATTATTAAATTATTTATTTTATGTAATGTACAAATATGTAAAAGTACATATTTGACATTGCTGCTTTTCAAATTACAAAAATTAAATTCACTAACGAATTGAGTAGTGGATCATCAATAATCAGCATTTTCTTGAAGTTAGTTCTTTTCGGTGTAATAAGTACATAGTTAACAGCCACACTCTGTTTAACACTAGCACTTATTTTGCATTTTTCATGGATTTTCACTTCTGCAGGGACAGGGGCATCCTGTATCTACCCATTACTTGGAGCAACTTTGAATGGCTGGTATTTCCTTGCAACAGAAGTGGATGACATGTGCTTCAATTATGCCAAGAAGAATGTGGAACAGAATAACTTGTCTGATCTTATAAAAGGTACAGTGTAATAAGTAGTATGTGAATGTTGTGACATATCCTTGCGTGTTCAGAGGCATATCAGAAGGTGTATTCCTTCCAAATACATGCTCAAATACATACTTTTACTAGAGCAGAATATTTACTAAAGTCTGTGTGTGCTTAAGCCAAAAAGCTGCTTTGTCTAGCATGGGATGGGTGCATAGAGAAATACTCTTCCTTACCAAAACCTGGAAGCTAAAGTTTACCATGGAGTGTTTTTATCTCATTATTCCTTGTCTATTACTGAAGTATTTCTTAGTGTTTGGGCTATTTCTGCTGGTAGGAGACCTGGGATACTCCCCTTGGATAACTGCATGACACTGCCAGAAAAGTGTATCTTGTACAGAGTTCTTCATCCTCACTTCTTGAATGAAGTCCTGGCACTGCCTGTGGCAGCAGAGGCAGTATGCCAGACTTGATCTGGGAATGAGCTTGGAAAATTTTCTGTAGGAACTCGGTGTAGTAAAAATCAGGTCCATTTATGAGCTCTGAAAAAAAGCTTTTGGAAGCATCCATTTGACCAACATGTCTTAGTCTGTTGTCCATGTCAGTCTTGAAGATCCAGAGTTTGATGTGGAGAACAATGAGAGTTTTCTGTCACTCCTGCCACTGATTTTTAGTGGTGTGGTGGGAATTTAATGTGTTTCAATGGGAATCATTTCAATACTGGAAAAGCAGCTGGCAAAGTAACAGGCTTCCTGTGAAGCTTTAGTGCCTGTACTTGTAAAGCACATTTGAGGTTGTATTGGAGAACTTGGCATAACTCAGGCAGTCCTTGTTGTTTTAAACAGATTCTGCTGCTGTGTATACAAGCTGTTTGTATGCTAATCCTTGACCTGAAATCTTTATTTGCATGGTGGCATTTGTTACATCTCTTTTATAGAAAGCCTTGTTTAGAAAGTACAGGTTTTACACAATGTATAATGTATATAGCATGTTAAATAAAATACAAAGTTCCTTACTTGCCAAATTCACTTTTTCTAATAGTGGTTAAGGTGCCACAGAAGACTCTTCTAATGGATGCACTGAAGGAAGAATCTGAGATCATTTATGATTTCTGCATGTGTAACCCCCCTTTTTTTGCCAACCAGTTGGAAGCTAAGGTAAAGTAACAAACTGCATGTTGTATGTACTTCAGTAGTCAGTGGGATGGTAGCAAGAATTTAACCTCTTGGCTTGGCCAAGGTTGAGTGGAAAGTCCCAAATCATCCTGAAATAGCATTTAAGCCTTCTCCCTCCTCATCCCCTAGCCCCTAAAGGAGTTCTGAAAACTTAACTGTTACCCCTCCTAAAGTGGAGG